CTTGTCTCTTTTTCAGTGGGTGACATGTTTGGTGCTCGGAGACAATTAAGGTGTAACGAAAGCGGTGTATCAGCTCACAGCTAGCGTGTGTTGTTTTACTGCTTTTCACAGTTCAAAATTATGCGTCTGTCGGCGCGAGGTGGTCTTCGATGGCGCAGAGTTCTGTTCCCAAGCGTCTTCTCTCAAAACAAAGTCCCCCGACGACTCGTTCAGCTCTCCGGTGTGACCCTTTTTTAACTCTCCTTCACTATGCGATGTCCTTAACGCCGCAGCGCGTGAGTTGAACGCTATGGGACTAACTGGCCTTAGGCACCTAGTACGCTATATGGCGAATCTGTTAAAGCACTGTCGCAAACCCGGTAGCGAGGACAGATCGTTCGCATTACCTCTGATATAAAAAGCACCCAGTAGGCCTGTTCACACCTGCTGTTCAAATAAAACAGAAGCCGGTTTCTCTGGGTTTATTTGCTAACGTGTCGTGGTGTCAGGTCAGCCTTTTGTAAGCCTTTAAAATACAGGTGAAGTCCTGGATATTTGATACTGGAAAAACACGAGCCGTGATTTCTTTATCCTGGTTATTATTGCTTGTTGGTTTATTTTACAGTCATTCAGTGGCGATGTTTCTCCGAACTCCTCTGTGGTGTCCTCCGCGTCCCCAGTCTATCTTGTGCGTTCACCTAACTGAGCGCTGTGACAATATAATATAAATACCAGCATAAAGGCAATAGATCCCAATCAGAGCGTATACTTATGTATACTAATATATTCTGTATGCTGTAGATGCACGTGCTATCACAACCGGGAGATGATCAGATTGCTGATTGAACGAAAGGGTATAATCAGAATATGGCGTAAAATGCTGGCCATTATCTCTAATCTGTTTAATGCAAATGAGGATTTTAATGTAGGAAGTGAACGCGGCTGTTTTGCCTAGATAAATACTTGTATTTCTATAAAGGTTGGGGGAAAGAGAGTCATACAGCGTGCACCGGTGCAAAAACTCCTGGTGGGAATAATTTGAATTGGACTAGGTACACTGACAAACTGAAAGCAATCACTAATATTTAATTCTAAAAAATAAAAATTTATTGACCAGAATAAAGTATTTTATATATATTTATAGGATAACTACAAAAAGGGGAAAAATACAATATGTTATAAAATGCGTTATGCATAGCAAGGTGTACATGAAAATGGATAAAACCCGTATAATACTCTTCAATGTGGAACAAAGAAGAACGCATAAATCTCCCGTATATTTCTTCCCCATAAATGACTATAGGCTTCAATATGGATATAAATATCCATAACTACATATGTATGACCCGTCCTTTGCAAGGTGTTTGGAACCTTTAAGGTGCTGAGGTCAAAGGAATAATTAGTTTATTTATAGCTGCTAGGACCCAACATAAAGTTATTTTCTATCCTAGAAAGCTGGAACTAGACACCCGTTTGATATTTATTTATTTATTTATTTATTTTTTTTTTGCATTTATTTATTTCAGCCCCTTGCTTAGTTGTTTGCCCCAGCCACCCCTCCACCCTCCCCCCACTCGTCTTACACACACACACACACACACACACACACACACACACACACACACACCAGGGGCGGATCCAGACATATTTTCTGACAGTCTTCCCAATTTTTTTTTTTTGTTGTTGATCCATCCCCATTTTTGACCGTCTTCCGACAGAAAAAGACCCAGAAGACGGCCTAAATCCGCCCCTGCACACACACACACATATAGTAAAAGTATTTCTGGCACCCTTTCGCTAAGCCCCCTGACATTATTAAGAAGCCCACGGCTACGCGTTTTAAACCTTTTGTATAACTTTACGACCCCATTCACATAGACACTATCGGTCTACGTACATCGATCCAACTCTGCGGGGACTCTCGCTGAGTGCAATCAGCTTAACTAAATGACACGCCTCCTCTTGTTTCCAACTTACTCATATAATCACAAACTTTTTTTGTATTTTACTTAACGTCAGAATCTGTTAAACTGATTACATTCAGCGAGAACCCCCTGGGAGATGAATAAATCTACTTAGATCGGAGGTGTCTGTAGGAATAGGGCCTAAAATATAATTTCAATTTAAATTAGACACATGGGCCTACTAGCTGCGTGCTGTTGATTTATCATGTTATCCTAGGATATATACCATTTTTCACGATGACACCTTGATCCTAGTGTCATTGCTACATTATACTGCAGATGAAAATATTATCATGTCGAGCTCATCTTCTGCATCTTGTGCAAGTTCATTTGTATAGACGTGACTATATTGCACACTTGATTCATGAGTTACTCTATTCAATTTGACAGCTGTGTTGTTTTTGTTGATTCATTATTTATTTGGCATTTTTGTCTGATCTACCAGCATATGAGCACCACAAAATACATATTCATATAGCCATAAACACGGTCTGAGTAGGCACTGCAGTAGTATTTCTTAATATTATATTATATTTACTAATTCTCAGCCAGAGTGTACTCTCACAAAAGGTGAATTCAGCTAGGAAGATTAGAAATAAACTTGTGGTTTTGGATATTTATACCTGAATAAGATGTTTTAGTAAAGACGTACATAGTACTACACGAATAACGTCAAAAAGTAATGCAGAAATCCAAAAACAAAGAGAAAGGTGGATCAGGTGAAGTTGTAAAAAACAACACGTCACTATCACTTTTATAAAAAGGTATTACCTGACTCTTGGTCAAATACAACCTTTTTTTTATTAAAATATTCACCCGAGAGTAACAAAAGGACATCGAGATTACAAATATATACATATAGCTTATGATAGGCCTACTTATCACAGTGGATATTAAATGACAATAATTCATATAGTAGGGCAAGCTCATGTAACAGCTGTAATAAAGTATCACGTAACATACATATTCATATATTAAAATGAGCCCAGTTTTGTTATGGGTCTTCATCTGACAAGATAAGGATATAAGTACTCATTTAAAGTAATTATTCCGATTATTTGCAAATTAGTCATTGATGTTCATGGTGACTATGTGGCAATCTTTATCAGTTTGTACACTTGAGTATACGGGGTAAGTGATTTAGGCCTACATCAGTATTTTTTTTAGAACCAAACTTTTCACACCTGAGTCACGTGCGGAGATGGGATTTAGTGAATGTGACACTTGGTGTTATTTAAAAGTTTGGAAATTATAGAATCTAAAATGGGTTTACATATTGTAATTTTTGATAGGATATAGTGCCAACTTTAGTGATAAAGGGGGGAGTGATATTTTTGCTGTGAAAGGTCTGCATGTACTAGTAGGCCTATGAGGCTTCATTATTACTGGGTGTTGAACGGTTTGTGAGCCTATGTCCTTTAATGTGTGTAATAATAATAATAATAATAATAATAATAATCATCTTTGGTAGTAATTAATGGTATCTGTATCTGTCCATGTACGTCTAAAGACACCAATACTGGTATGAAGTAGACGGGTAGAAGAGAGCGCATGGGAAACTTAGTCAAATAGTAGTCCTGATCTAAAGCTTTCAACAGTTTCAGCGTTTTTACTTGTTGGTCACTGAGTCCATTCCAATCGGAAACTGTTCTGACGAAGAAAGAGTTTTTTCTGACGAGTGTTTTACAACGTTGTAAGCGAAAACAGCGACTGTTATAAGTACTATTCACAATGTTTTCAGAGTCAAAGTCAGTGAAAGATTTAGCCCTTATACATGTACGACGTTTGTTAGAGACTAGAAATGGTTTGAAATTTAAGAGAAATTTAAAGCAGTCTAAAATAAAGCACCACAATTAACGGTCTGCAATTTATTTTAAATAAGTAACACACTTTATAGTCATGTTTTTATCATATCCAAATTAAAGAAACGATGAAGGCGTAGAACAAGAGAAAAATAAGAGACAGTACGGCGTGGAGAAAAGTAAACCCAAGAGAGGCCGAGCGAGAAAGCTACATCGATGTCAAGTTAAAACCCATCTTAGCTGAACCAGAAGTAAACACAAATAAGAAGACGAAGATGCGGCATTTGTTCGGCGTGTTTATTACAGCGCTTTCGTGTGTTATCCCGATAGTCCAGCCTGAGGTATGAGTAGCTTTTATAACATAACAGAAAAACGACATACAGACATATTTGTGGAAGTTTTTCCAGTTCTTTCACCAAAACAGGGGTGTTTTGCTTTAACGTTGACGCTCTCTGGGTTTGTGCAGCTTACATAAGAGTGTGAGTGTCTCTTGTCCTAGTTTTGGCGTTACATGCCAGGTATATACCGCGAGTTGTTCACACTAACAGCACACCTAAATGTTATAAACATACGTGTATAGTTCCTCCTGTGCAGTATTAGCTGATGCCCCTTGTTGTTAGTGTTTGTGTGTGTTGGGGAGGGGGGAGGGGGGTCTGTCATCACCCAAGTCTTAATACTGAAGTGGCCAGTAATTTACAGACATTTACTGGCTACTGCTGCGTTTGCTACCATGTGACATGGGGCCAACTGGTAGTTAGTGATTGTAACAGTGAAAACTATTTTAACCTACAGACAGAGGGTTCCCCAGGCTTTGGAGTACAGGGAATACAAAATGTTGATCTGTAATTTTATCACTGATTTAAGGAAGTCCAACTACAAGTATACCATTATTCTAGGTAAAAAATCATAAAACGTCCAGTCGTATTTGAAAATATAGACAGTCTTTTGAGGCCAGAGCCTGACCAAGTGATTGCTGGATATGGCTCACCAGGGAAAGCCTTACCTGATAAATGACATACAGATATATGCTAACTAATAATGCAGAGATCTAGGGCATCATAGGCCTGATATGTGTGTGTGTGTGTGTGTGTGTGTGTGTGTGTGTGTGTGTGTGTGTGTGTATTGTCAGCAGTTTGATGATTCCACTTCACTTTCTGTAAATACTCTAGACTCAAGAATTTTTACTGCAGGTACTGAAATGGCGGCCGTACAAGATTGAAAATGAAGTCCTGCAAGCGCCTGCTGATTTTGTGAAGAGAGTGCATGTCATCTACATGAATCATTTAGGTAGGTGTCAGCTACAGTGATTTTAACTTTATTGCATTTTTTTTTTTTTTTGAAAAAGTTTCATATTTTAAACTTGCAAGGCAATAAGCAGAATGGAAACTAAAAACAAAAAAAAATAAAATAATAAAAATAAAAAAATAGTCAATTCCTCTTATTGCATTCTTTACCACCATTTATAATATTAAAGAAAATTTTAATGATTTTGCATGAACCTGAACAAGATATGCTTTATAATGTGAACATTATTTTTTAAATTTTAAAGATTTTATTTAAATGTATTCTAGATGTGCTTTATATTATTATAATTCAATGTTAAAGAAATCTCAGATTATTTCTAAATTTATTTGTTCCAGATGTGGGCTATGATGGACTCTACCCTAAAGAGATTGGCTTCATTAACAATGTATTAAACAAGTATTTTGTGGAGTATTTCCCACGAGCCGTCCAGCTTGCTGACACCTTACGAAAAGGAGGTCACAATGAGACATTTATTTACACCACACATCCCTGGCTGGTCAGCCTGTATATGGACTGTCCACAAGATTTGGTACTCCATGGGATAAGGCTGCAGGTTTGTATTTGGATCTCCCTTCTTTTTATTATTATTATTTTTGATTAATTAATGATCATGAAACAAATACTTTTATAGCTAGAAACACTCTCAAAGAGTGCAGATCTCTACCAAGACAGGTCGGCCCTTATTATAATAAAATTATTGACTAAATAATCAATTTCTGAGTTCTCATTATTAATTAATTAATTAATAATCAGTTCACATTCATTGAAGGTAACACATTCTCATTTATTAGCTGTCACATCTACTTTTCCCTCCTTTTAATTTCCAATGCCCCAGTGCCCAAATGCCTCTGCCCGTGCACACTTCATAGCAGCTGTTCAGCGTGGCGACATCACATGGCATGCAGGACCAATGAACATGCAAGCGGAGAACTCGCCACTCTGGTTGTTTAACTTTGGCCTTGACCTTGGTGCTGATCTAGACAAGTTGTTTGGCATTGTGAGGAAGTATAGAACCATGAGCCAGAGAGATGTACCAGGTAATGGTGTGTGTGTGTGTGTGTGTATTTGTATATGCGTATGTCTGTGTTTATGTGTATGTGTGCATGCGTGCATGTGTGTGTGTGTGTGTGTGTGTGTGTGTGTGTGTGTGTGTGTGTGTGTGCAGAGAAGATAAAGACAGAAACAGGCAGACAGACCCATATGCGAACACATCTGCATACGATCACACACTTACATAAGGTAAAAGAAGTAAATTAAGATGGGAGATTTCTGTTATCCATTTTCTGTAAGGAAACTCCATTTACATTTGCCTTGTGTTGCTGGCAAATATGTTCATTATCATATTATTGCTATCACAACTGTAGTTTATATCTCAGGTTATGTAGTTATTGCTGAGGTCATATAGTTGATATCTCACCTTTTACTTATACCTCAGGTCTGACCCATGCAGCCATCCCCAGTCTTGTGGAGAAAGGAATCAAAGCACTGACAGTGGGTGTCAATGACATGAGTGCTCCCCCTGACGTACCTCACCCGCTGTTCAGGTGGCAGTATGGCAAGGCTGAGGTCCTGGCCACTTGGCATCCTGGTAAGGGAGTGTGTTAGATGTGACAGTGTGTTAGATGTGACAGTGTGTTAGATGTGACAGTGTAAAATTTTATACTGGTAAGGCGTGACAATGTGGAAGTCATATTGTGCTAGGCAAACTGCTTAATGTCAAATATGTCTTCAAAACAATAATTTATGAAATTGATTCAGGTTTTGTTCACTATTTTCACAGTAGACACCAAAAAATACATAATAACTATTTTCCCTTGACCAGGTGGTTACCCTGACGACCCTGGCCCCACTCCTAAGCTGCCCCGTGGTTTGAGCAGGAAGGACTGTGTTGTGGTTACTGGGTTTCCTGATGCCATGTGCTTTGCTTTTAGAACTGACAACTCTGGCCCTCCTGTAGATATCAAGGCAGGTTGATGAGTACAATATTCGTGATATGTTATTATGTTATTGATATTATGTAACGAAAATAGGGCCCAACCCATGAAAAAAAAAGACTCGAAAATCTGTAGAAGTATAAAATATGAAAATAATTGTAGAATTTTTCAAGACATTTTGCATATGTAAAGAACTTAATAAAATTATATTTTAATATAGTCAACAGCACTTTATGATTGTTGCACATAATTTGAATATTGTCCATTTAATTGTAATTTTATTTTTAATTCATTTATGACACATAAACTATTATTGTTTTACTTAGTGTTTATTTTCCTTGGTGTTATTTTAAATCAGGAAATCAAACGATACTTCAGCATCTTACAAGCAGAATTTCCAAATGCAGTCATCAAGGCATCCAACCTGGAGACCTTCATGGCAACCATTGAACCAATCAAAGCCAAGCTTCCTGTGGTTACCAAGGAGATAGGAGACACTTGGATACAGGGCACAGCCTCTGACCCCAGAAAGCAGGCAGAGTACAGGGCTATAGCTAGAGTACTGGGGATATGTCTGGAAAGAGGTAGATATAGAAAGCAGGCAGAGTACAGGGCTATAGCTAGAGTACTGGGGATATGTCTGGAAAGAGGTAGATATAGAAAGCAGACAGAGTACAGGGCTATAGCTAGAGTACTGGGGATATGTCTGGAAAGAGGTAGATATAGAAAGCAGACAGAGTACAGGGCTATAGCTAGAGTACTGGGGATATGTCTGGAGAGAGGTAGAAAACATCCCAAATACCTTGAGATTTAGTGAGTTCTGGAAAATAATCTTCCTGTATCCTCTGCTACATTTTTTTTTCAGAAGGATACAGGTACACTGCATATGTCAGTGGTGAGATAAGTTAACTATAAACTGTAAAACACTGGGTCTACGTACCCAGCATTTGCATCAGACTGAAAACAAAGTTGCACCATTACTCCAAATCAGTGCTCTGCTACTTTTTTTATACCAAAGACTGCTGTTTAAAAAGTAAACTTAAAAGTAATTAAGTGGCTCAATGAATTAGATTTAAATGATAAATTTAGATCTTTTTTATTAAGACATGGATCTATGAAAAAAATTTATTTTATGATTAATATCACAGTCATAATTTATTGAGTTAACACATTGTATTTTCCTTGATATTATCTTAATTTAAAATCAGTATGGTATTTAAGATATTAACAGCTAGTGCAATAATAAACAAACACTACAATGCAGACTTTTAAAGAACAATTATCCTTCTTGTTTGTACAAATATTTAACTTGTATTTTACCAGGACAGTGTAGTCTACAGGATCACGAGATCTTGTTGTATTTACAATGTTGTATCTTGTATTTTACCAGGACAGTGTAGTCTACAGGATCACCAGATCTTGTTGTATTTACAATGTTGTATCTTGTATTTTACCAGGACAGTGTAGTCTACAGGATCACCAGATCTACAATGCCAGCAGGTTCCTGCTGAAGTTGGGGGAACACACCTGGGGGCTCAGTACTGAGTGGGACTTTGTTCACTGGACAAATGCTGAATTTGGCAGATTTAGATCCAGTAAGATCAACAAATAAGTTACTGAAACAGTATTATAAATACTAATTGTGTGCATGTGAAATTTACTGGAAAACAATTCCTGAGAAGAAGGAGAAATCAATTTGTTTTTTAAACATATATAAATAAATTGATTAGATTTATTTATTTATTTATCTTGTTTGTTTGTTTGTTTGTTTCAGATAAAAACTTCACAGACTGTGAGAATTCTTGGAGGGAGCAGAGGTCATTCTCCAGTGTAGCCATGGAAGCTATGGCCCAGCATGTGATTATAGCTGATGTTGAAGAGGAACTGGCCCAGCTCAGACCAGCCAAACCACACCTGGAAGGTACATTTGTACAGCCTGTGTATTTAACATTTCAGACTTCAGAGAACAACTAGTTCAATATTTATTGTATTCCTTAATTGGTTATTTGTGAGAAAGATTTGGAATGGACTTTGAGTTTCTATATGATGTGGAGTATCGTATTTCTTAATGATATGGAGTATAAAGTTTCTATATAATGTGGAGTTTAATTGCAGTTTGGTGCAATTAGTTCTTCATGTGTAATGCTAATAAAACATTATTGCATTATTTTAATAATTAAAATGATTACAGATATTTTTAATTTTTTTATTTTCATCAAGATTTTGAGAAGATAGATTTAACAAGGGGAAGTCCAGTGTTTAAATGCAAGAACTTAGACCTGCAGTTTGGAAGTGACGGAGCTTTGACCTTGTTGATAGATCACAGAAGTGGGGTATGTGCAACTGCTGTTTGTCAGTCTAAATAATTTAATTAATCAGTTTTGATATTAATAGTACACACAATATGTTTTTGACGAGCATCTTTTGTCTCTTTAAGACAGGTAGTTACAGTTTATTAAATGCAAATAGTGTGAATGCTCACATCATTTTTCAGCACTCAGATTCATCAATGGGTTAAGTTACTTGGTGATGATAAAACTCTTCTCACACAAACTTACCAGAAAAAAAAATTCAAAGTGGATTATATTATTTAAGTTGATAATAGTTCAAGTAGACAGCATTCAGTGTTTGGTACAACTGGGTCTGCTGCCAACCATCATTATTCCATGAATATTCTGATACTTATTCAGTCACCCTGATTAAGTTTAATTAACATATATATGGTACATTTCAGGTCCAGTGGGCAGATGTCCTCCACCCTCTTGGTCAGTTTAAATACGTCACCTACAACGAGACCGATTTTGTCACCTTCAACAGACAGTATGCGTATAACATCAGTAGAAATGTGGGGATCATGAAGATAAACTGTTCTAAGTATGCCCACCCTGAGAGTAAACCCTGGCATGTAGATATGGTACAGCTTTACAAGAGGAAAGGTAATTATATATGAAGATAAACTGTTCTAAGTATGCCCACCCTGAGAGTAAACCCTGGCACGTAGATATGACAGACCTTTACAAGAGGAAAGGTAATTTTATATTCAGGCCTGTAGCTGACAGTTTCAAAGGGTGAGAGGGTCTTAAATAGAAAATAATGACCTTACATTGAGAAATGGCACTGAACCTAGACCAAAATTTGTTTCATATTGGACCCTTTAAGGCCAAAATGGTAGTTCTTTCTATTTTTAATATATTACATTGTGTCAGATTAGAGTAGCGAGTAGAAGAGAAATATTTGAATATTGCAGATTGCTAGATGAAAGAAGCAAATGTTTGCATATGCAAACTAAATATAAATATATTTAATTTAACTAAATTTAAATATATTTTAAATAATGTACTAGATAACTGATAATTAATGGTATCATTTCTGTATTGGTTTGTTTTATTACAGATTTTTCATCGTGTGAGTTCTATGTCCAGTTACATATGAGGGACTATATAACCCAGACATTTTATGGTGCTCCCAAAGAAATATGGCTGCATTATACTGAGGACACACCCCCTGGTGGTCAAGCTGGTCAGTTTGGACAGTGATTTAGGGCCCTTTGCCCATTTATACTTTTTTGTAGTTAGACAATGATTAAGATTCTTTTGACATCCAACAGGGTACTTAAAAGATACAAACTTACAACACACTGTTAGAGGTCCTGTATATAATTATATATGCTCCAGTGGGTATAACTCCCCTTCACAAGTTCACCACAAGTTTGCTTCATTTTGTTTAGTTCACTTATTGACCCTTGCTACTTGCTTATAAAATAGCCAGGCTGTGAAGTTTTCAAACTTTTATAGAACACCTATACAGACTGCACCAATTTATTGTACTGCTCCGTGTGAAAAGGGTCAAACATGTAGCACATTGAATTATATTAAATTGTTTATAAATGATGAAAAGCAGCCAAGTTGTTTTTGTTGCCCTTATTTAAAAAATGTATTATTTATATATTTACAATGATAAAGAAATGATTTTTTGAGCTTCTGTCAATATCATTTCTCTAAGGTCGTAGGACAATAAAACAACCCATGCATTTTACATGTATAATATATTTGTATACATTTTGATAAAACTATTTGATAATACAAGCAGTTCATATTTAAAGATCTTCACAATCTTCTCATCCAGGCTTGAATCTTGACCTTCAGTGGTTTGACAAGACTGTGACTCGTCTGCCAGAAGCACTGATGTTTAGTTTCACGCCACGCCAGCAGAGGGCACACCAGTGGAGAATAAAGAAACTTGGGCGGTGGATTGACCCCCTTAATTTGGTGCAGAACGGCAGCAGCCTACAACATGGTGAGATTATACAATATCCACCTCTTTAAAAACGTCATAACTTATATGTAAATCTTGGAGGAAAGATACATTTCATTTGCCTGTGTTATAGTGGACATCAGCTCTCAAAATTACAGACAAGTGAATGTCAATAAATTGTTTTGTTTGTTTTGAGAAATAGACGGTAACACATTTATCATTTAAGTTTTTTTCTTCATTTCAGTGATTGACGATGTTATTAGCTACACCAAACAAAACTTTTCCTCGGGAATTCAGATCGCCAGTGTAGACGCCCCTCTAGTGGCGCCATCTGCAGAAGGCAAGATGGCGACACCATTTCCTGCTCCTCTGACACCATTGAAAACAATTGACAGTATGAGCTTCATATTGTACAACAACATATGGGGGACTAATTACATATTCTGGTATCCTTACCTTGACGAAGATAAGGATTTTAAGGCAAGATTTCAGCTTAAGTTTTTAAGATGATTTCAGTCTGTGTTCCCATGATGAATATGTACAGAATCAAGGAGTTATAACAGACTCCTTGACAGAATAACGTTTTAACTAAATTTTAAAATTTTAATTTTCATTGTAAACTTTTTGCCATAAAAACTCAAACTACTTTGTAAACCAATAAACCCAACATGAAGAATGTTTAACCATGGTAATACCTTATTGCCTATATGATAGACTGTTGCTATGTTGTTGCCAAAAGGTGTAGCTACCAGTATAATTTATATAATTCATTGCGCAATAGTAACAAACATAGTCTGCTGAAGAATTGTGTAATGGCTTCAATGCATTATACAAGAGAAGAATGTTTTGCTAGGACATGATCATGCATGTTATTAAGGCACACTGCACCAGTACATGAACATGCACTGCAGTAATGATACTGGTCGGTGCTCGTTGGTTTAGTCTGGGTGCTGAATGCAGTTATTGAATACATTACTCTCTTTTCCATCTATAGTATTGTAAGTACCCTGGCCAAGGAAGTTACACGTGCAGTTGAATTCATTAAACCGAATAGCACCCATCTCTCGCGAGTTAAATATTTGAGGTTCAAATATTGTGATAATGTTGTCGCACAAGGCAATCCTAGTGTCAACGTGTACTATATTGTTTTAGACATTTTTATGTCAGTTTGTTTCTTAAACTTTTCATTCCACTGTGTATCTCAGGAAACCACATTCTGATTTAAAATTTACGTCTGATGACAAAATCTACAGATAATAAAAAATTCGTCTACAAATAATCGCTTAAATGTTCACTAATCCAATCAATTTTTATGTACAGACACAGATGTGTCTGTACATATAGCCATCATCTGTGTCTGTCGTCGCCGTCGTTGCTGTCGTCGCCGTCGTCGCCGTCGCCGTCGCCGTGCACTTTTACCGATAACACGATAAGTGGAAAACCATTTTACCTTTTGACTTGAAACTTACGGAACTGATGAATATTCATAACACGCAGGTCAAGTTCGAAAATCAGCATGATCGGGTCACTTTTAGGTAATTTATGCTGTTTTTTTNTCTTTACAAGAGGATAGGTAATTTTATGTCCAGGCTTGTAGCTGACAGTTACAAAGGGAGAGAGGGTCTTAAATAGAAAATAATGACCTAGCACTGAACCTAGATCAAGATATGATTCAAAATGGAACCATTTAAGGCCAAAATGGCAGTTCTTTCTATTTTTTATATATCACATTGTGTCAGATTAGAGTAGCGAGTAGAAGAGAAATATTTGAATATTGCAGATTGCTAGATAAAAGAAGCAAACGTTTGCATGTGCAAACTAAATATAAATATATTTTAAATAATGTAGCTGGGGTAGCGCTAACACTCGCCAATTTAGCCAAATGCTAAACCTGACTCAAATTGGCTAAAGAAAATGAGCCTGATTTGACTTGTTTTAGTCAAATTGTAACCATTTTGATAACAGACTGACAAAAAAGTGGTGATTTGGCTAAGCCAAAAAAATTGCTAGCGCTACCCCAGTGTAGTATTTAAATGTAGTCTACAATCTCTTCGAAATATGTAGATAACTGATAATTAGCTGCATCATTTTTGTATTGTTTTTTTTTTTTTTTTATTACAGATTTTTCATCATGTGAGTTCTATGTCCAGTTACAGATGAGGGACTATTTCACCCAGACATTTTATGGTGCACCCAGAGAAATATGGCTGCATTACACTGAGGACACACCCCCTGGTGGTCAAGCTGGTCAGTATGGACAGCGATTTAGGGTCCTCTTCCTATTTAATATTAATAATAATAATAACCAATTTATTTTGAGTCTAAAATCCATTATAACGTGTTCAGAAGACTTCACACATACATAAAACAATTACTTAAGAAATCAATTATTAGGAATAGATAAATGAAAAATTACAGAGCTTAACAACAAAAATATTTAAGAGTATTCTAGATAAAACATACAGATTCTCACATAAGCACTTACAGTAAATAACTAAAATATGTTTGTTAAGAAAAAATAATCAATTTTAGAATAAAAAACAGCCTTATTTATACTTTATTTGTAGTTAGACAGTGATTAAGATCTTTTTCACACCTAACAGGACAGTTTAAAGATACAAACTTAAAACACGCATTTAGAGGTCTTTACATGTAATTATGCTCTCCAGGGGGTATTATTCCCCTTCACAACTTCACCACAAGTTTGCTTCATTTTGTTAATTTATTGACCCTGCCTGGCTAGTGCAGAGGCTTTATTTAGGTGACTGACTTACATAACAGCCAGGCTGTGAAGTTGTCAAACTTTTGCAAAATTACCCATGCAGACTGTACTGCTGTGGCATGGAAAAATGAAACATTGCAAAACAAAAACTTACATTGAATGAAAAGTAGATTTATTGAATATTTCAACACATATCATGCCATATGCCACTTTATTGTACTGCTCTATTTGAAAAGAGCCTAATTATAATTAGTCATAGTTCATTGAATTATACTTCATTGTTTATAAATGATGAAAAGCAGCCATGTTGTTTTTGTTGCCCTATTGAAAAAATGTATCATTTATATATTTACAATGATAAATATATAATTTTTAAGCCTTAGTCAAAATCACTTCTATGAGATCTGTGAAACAATAAATCAACCCTTATATTTTATATGTATAATATATTTATATACATTTTGATAAAACTATTAAATAATACAAGCAGTGCATATTTAAAGATCTTCACAATCTTCTCATCCAGGCTTGAACCTTGACCTTCAGTGGTTTGACAAGACTGTGACTCGTCTGCCAGAAGCACTGATGTTTAGTTTCATGCCACGCCAGCAGAGGGCACACCAGTGGAGAATAAAGAAACTTGGGCAGTGGATTGACCCCGTTAATGTGGTACAGAACGGCAGTAGCCTACAGCATGGTGAGGTTATACAATATCCACCTCTTTAAAAACGTCATAACTTATATGTAAATCTTGGAGGAAAGATACATTTTATTTGCCTGTGTTATAGTGGACATCAGCTCTCAATATTACAGACAAGTGAATGTCAGTAAATTGTTTTGTTTGTTTTGAGAAATAGACGGTAACACATTTATCATTTAAGTTTTTTTCTTCATTTCAGTGATTGACGATGTTATTAGCTACACCAAACAAAACTTTTCCTCGGGAATTCAGATCACCAGTGTAGACGCCCCTCTAGTGGCGCCATCTACAGAAGGGAAGATGGCGACACCATTTCCTGCTCCTCTGACACCATTGAAAGCAATTGACAGTATGAGCTTCATATTGTACAACAACATATGGGGGACTAATTACATATTCTGGTATCCTTATCTTGACGAAGATAAGGATTTTAAGGCAAGATTTCAGCTGAGGATTTTAAGATAATATTGATCTGTGTTCCTATGATGAATATGCACAGGATAACGTTTTAACTTAATTTTAAATTTTCAATTTTCAGCGTAAACTTCTTGCCATAAAAAACTCAAATTACTTTGTAAACCAATAAACCCTCCATGAAGAATGTGTAACCATGGTAATGCCTTCTTGCCTATATGATAGACTGTTGCTATGTTGTTGGCCAAAGGTGTAGCTACCAGTTTAATTTATATAATTCATTGCGCAATAGTAACAAACATATTCTGCTGAAGAATTGTATAACGGCTTCAATGCATTATACAACAGAAGAATGTTTTGCTAGGACATGATCATGCATGTTATTAAGGCACACTGCACCAGTACATGAACATGGACTGCAATAACAATACTGGTCGGTGCTCGTTGGTTTAGTCTGAGTGCTTAATGCAATTATTGAATACATTACTCTCTTTTCCATCTATAGTACTGTAAGTACCCTGGCCAAGGTAGTTACACGTGCAGTTGAATTCATTAAACTGAATAGCACCCATCTCTCGCGAGTTAAATATTTGAGGTTCAAATATTGTGATAATGTTGTCGCACAAGGCAATCCTAGTGTCTACGTGTACTATATTGTTTTAGACATTTTTATGTCAGTTTGTTTCTTAAACTTTTCATGCCACTGTGTATCTCAGGAAACCACATTCTGATTTAAAATTTACGTCTGATGACAAAATCTACAGATAATAAAAAATTCGTCTACAAATAATCGCTTAAATGTTCACTAATCCAATCAATTTTTTTCTTAAATCCATACTGATAGGCGCAAAATCTTGGGTCACTTGAGTCTGACTTGTGGTTTATGCTACTCTGTTAATTGTTATATCAGGTTAACCGTGATTTAATTAAAATGTATCAAGGTTGTGCATTACATGTATTTATCAAGCCTCACACTGCAGCTGATTAAGAAAACTTGTCAGATATTTGTCATATCTTTTTCGAAAATTATGAATTAAGTGAACCATGGGTCTTTTTATCTATGATAAAGATAAAAGATGCGTCTACGATGGACGTTGAATTTGCTTGATCTGTATCGTGTTTCTTCTTGGGAGTATTGTCCAGTATATACAGTTTTATCGATTTATTGTTAACTGTCGTATAACTTAAGTTCCAGGTCTTACAAGGACCTTGAATATATATTTATATGTAGAAATAAGAAATAAACTTTTGTTATCAAAAGTGATATGTATTTTTCTCTTTGTCATTATTTTATATGCAGTACTTGTACATCGCACCTTTTCAAAGTTTATATATTTAAACTTCCATATTCGTATTTTATTTGTCTAAGACAGTTTGTTTTATAATCTCTTGCTTGTAAGAAAAAATGAATGAAATGCCCGCCCGAATACAAAATCAACAAAATGTCAGAAAACGTGAATGTTTTGCAGTTCTTGATAACATTCAGAATTTTAAAAATTGGTAGAAAAAATTGATAAAAACTTTTTAAGTACATACCAACATCTGTACCAACACCTTCATGGTCACGTAGGTCATCGAATCAGTCATTCAGCGCACCAGATATGTGCGTTTTTTGCATTTTTAAGATGTCATAACAGTTCAAATCGATAGTAACAGTTTCATATCAATTCGTTGTTGATTGGCTATATAACTGTGACGAAAATCACCAAACACTAATTTACCGGGTACCATGGAGCTGTGACTATGACGTACATGAAACAATTATGACGTTACAAAATACGTAGTGTTGTAAAATTTAAACGTTATGAGAAATGTTGTGACGTATAGGTGTTTATGACGTCGGACAACAATGCACAGTAGAGTTACGTTTCTTACGTCAGCAATGAAAGACGTTACTAGGGAACGGCACGGCGTTGTTATGAGAAACCAAACAAACAAATACTATTATCAACACTGCATAAGTACACGTAAGTCGGTGTGCCATGCTTAAGCTTTTATGCACAAATTCCAATATGACTGAGGTTATGCTTTCACCCAACAGATATCTAAAAAGAAGCGCCGAATTTTTAAGTCCACGTTCCCGTAAAAGTAAGAGGATCGAAATTCTAGAGAGAAATTTGGGACCAAAATGGAATAATTTGGGATATTTTTCCGTACTTCCTATAGAGATGATAACAGAACTCGTGCAGTACTTGGATACACCCAGTTTACTTCAATTGTCCTCAACTTGTAAAGTATTTCAGATTATTTCAAAGGATCGTTATATATGGGAGCTTCATATAAAGGTAAAATTACATTCTCCTTCATCATGATTGACCAAAAATTATGGTGATAATGAGAAATTAATGAATAAAATATTTAAGATACATGGAAAATTTAATGATTAAAAAAAAAGAAAATTCATTTCAACTTATTAATGAGAAATATATTCAATAAATAATAATGGTTTTGAATATATTAATGAGAAATATATT